GTTAGTCAATAATCAGTATTATTTTTTTTATTTCAATCTTTTTCTGTTTTGCCCAACAAAAGTTTATTACATTCTTAAAATACACTGTGATAAAACGATTCACTCTCACTCCACTGTGTTTACATATAGACAGGTTTAGCTTGGATACAAATTCCTATTCCATGTGTTATTTAGGTCATAATATAATCTGGAAACATGCAGTTGATTTTGCTTATTAGGAATAGACCATTAGAAACTTTTAGTGAGGTGATGTCAGAAATTTTTTTTTTTTCATGATTTTTACTGTGTACTTTAACAAAACTGGATTTCTATAGTACGAGACGCGGAATGTAAATTTATTATTTTGTGTATACTAGAAGAAAACGTACTAATAATTCAAAAATACGTACGTATTGGAGGCCGTGGCGTGTGTGTTTTAAAATGATGTGTGCATTTTAAAAAAAACGGCGTGACTTTGCGTTTTAATGGTATGTGCTTTAAAAAATCATGTGTGTATATTAAATGGCATGGGTGTTTTAAAGAACGTGTGTTTAAAAACGACGTGTGTGTTTTTAAAAATGGCATGTGTTTAAAAACGATGTGGATTTTTTTTAAAATGGCGTGTGTTTAAAAACGACGTGCGTGTTAAAAAATGACGTGTGTGTTTAAAAATGACGTGTGTGTTTAAAAATGATGTGTGTGTTTTTAAAAATGACGCGTGTGTTTTTAAAAATGACGCGTGTGTTTAAAACGACGTGTGTGTTAAAAATGACGTGTGTTTTTAAAAATGATGTGTGTGTTTTTAAAAATGACGCGTGTGTTTTTAAAAATGGCGTGTGTGAGGTCGAATGAAAATTTTGTGTGTGTAAAAAGAAAAAAAACGCGTGCATTAACTTATTTACGCCTGTGGGGGCGCTGTTTTGAATGATTTTGTTTTCGTGTGTGTGTGCAAAAAACGCGTGCGTTAACCTTTTTATGCCTGTGGGGGCGCTATTTGAGAGATTTATTTCATGTGTGTGTTAAAAAAATCGCGTGCATTAACCTATTCACGCCTGTGGAGGCGTCGTCTCAAGTGGTAGCCATTTTCGTTTGTGGATTTCTATAACTTCAATAAGGAAACAAGAGAACTGGTGATGGTTGTAGAACCATAACTGCCTCAGCTCAAAGATTGTTATGTAATACATGAGAATGTGAATGAAAATGTATTGTAATGTTACCTCTGTGTAATTTACAATATATCTTCAATGTGAAGGACAATATGGGAGTTGACTTAAATGACTGGTAGAAGCAAGGCTGGTCAAAATTTACGAAATAGTAGTTAGAATTTCCAGATACGCAATCGACACATTGTAGGATATCAAAATATGGATGATAAAGAGCAAGTGATATTTCCAGAGATGTAGTTGGAATTGTTGCAAAGGAGTGGCCTATTAATCCATGAAACATACTCGCACATATCTGTACATATCATCCTGTCTTATTGTGTGTGGGCAAAGCTGTCATGCACACAATCGGAAAAATATGTTATTACTGTAAATAATTATGAACAATAGAAACTGAAATTTAGAAAAACTATGAACAATTAATAAGGAAAATTTGTGATTTGCTGTACAGTTTCCAGAAAATTATCACAAGTTCCAGAAGTGCATAGAGTCGTCAATACGTACAGTTTGGTGACAGTTGGGAATGATACCAAGATTTAACAATTCCATGAGAACATCACAATGTTCTTTTAACACATGAAACGGATGTGCATTCGTCGAATTTTGTTTGGTTTCATTAGGCATACAAGCACCTGTATATATTTTGACAATAAATCCCTCATTCACATTGTGCAAATACAAACAAGATATTAAACCTTCTTGATAGTAACAAGTAAGTGTTGTATAAACCCGAATGAAAAGTC